CATAAGAGCCGGCCGCGGCAGCCCAGCGCCGAGCGAGTGGCGAGCCTGCGTGGACGCTGCCAGCGGAACCTGCGCACAGCCAAGCGGGCCGGCGAGGAGCCGTCGGGCAGGCAGGTAAGGACCGGGCCGCGGGCGCGCCGGGCGCCCCCAGTGCGATAGCGACCTGGAGACGTCGGTGGCCCCGGGGGGGCCCCTAGGCCGGCCCCGCCGGCGGAGCGCCTGGTCCGGGCGCAGCGGGCAGGGCGGCGGCACTGGTTTCTCGGTGCCCTCCCCTCGAGCCTGTCCTGCTACTGAGACCGACTTGGGGCGCGCGGCTGTTTGTGGCTGCGGCTTCGCGTCGTGATTCGATTTTTCCTTTACTGAACCAGACAACGCGAAGGTGAGCGGGTCTGGGTCCTTCTAAACACATAACGCGGCCCATGAGATCTGATCGGGGAGCCCTGGATGGAGGTGTTTCTGTCTTTGATTTTTAAGACCTGGAGCGGAGAGTTGCAGGGCTGTGCGCTTCGCTAATGCAAGAAAGGACGAGGGGGAATGACAATCTCTCAGCGAGCTGGTTCTTGTCATGGGGGCCGTGAGGAAAGATGCTAAGAGACCCACATTTTGCTTCCTTATCCAACCATTGCCTCTGAGGCCGAGAGTTCAGGAGTGGGGTCTGGTTTTCCCCATCTGCGGAGCGTGGGGGTGGGGTTCGCAGACGGGGGTGGTCCCGGAGCTGATCTACTGGGACTTGCGCTCTGTACAGCTCCCCGCTCTGTCCCAACGTGAAACGCATTGCTGTCCACGCCCCAAAGCCTAGGCACCTCTCTTCACGCGTTATTTACTCGTCTGAGGAATGTACTGTTGGGTTTGTCACTGGGATGTGAAGAAGCCACCACAGAGTGGTGAATAAAATAACTTAGGTTGTGAGTGTTTGTGCAGATTTGGATACAGAGAAAAATGGCCCCACTCCTGCTGCCACCCTGCTATCCTCTACCTACATATGCGGGCACTGGGCAGTGTGTGTGTGTGTGTGTGTGTGTGTGTGTGTGTGTGTGTGTGTGTGTGTAATGGAAACACTGCTGGTGGATCCAAATACCCTCCCCCCGCAAAGAAAGCCCATTTGGAGTTGCTCTCAGGCCAGTGAAGGGCCACCGTGTCCTTGGCTGTGACACTGTGTAAATTCTCCTGCTCTTCTTTGCTTCATTACCCAAAACTTTTATGAAAGCAGTGTAAAAAGGACCTACTGGGTAAAGTGAATAAGTAGACCAGTCTGTCCCATTTCTCATGGAAAATTGTAACATGCTCTGTCCATCTCTGCGACTCTCCTGGGCAGAGTCCATGAAGCCACCCAGGACCACAAGGGGATGGGGACAGTATAGGTATTCCTTAAACAAACCGTTTTCATAGTTATTTTTTAAATGTCAATTTCTGTGGCTGATTTCGATGATACACAGTTTACTCTTTAGTTTATTACTGAATGTAAAACATACATGTGCAGTCTGTTTTTAAGATTTGCTCTTGAATATTTGAAGATTGTAAAATCACTTCCTGGAAATGTGGAGGAGGGCGGGGTGGGGGTCACATCCTCATGTTATTATTGGAATGTGTAATTAAAGGTTACACAAACATGGCACTTTGATAAGAAAGAAGAGGGGTGCACCGGGAAAGAGGGACAAAAGCAAAGTGTCCTGAGCCCCCCACTGTCTTTCCCTCCCCTAACCCCACCACCAGAACCTCCTCATTTTTGCTCCCTAGGCCTCCTCTTTGATCCAGCCTCTGACCGTTCTTAACCCAGGCTGTGCCACCTTAGATATTGGGAATGTATTCTTTCCACCCCCAAAACACTGAATGGCAATGTATTGGATCTCTGCTTTTGAGATCTCTGCACATACATAGTCTTGGTCTATTAAATAATTGCATTCCTGTGTGTGTTTACTTTTTACGTAGGCTGAAGACCAGGAGGGAAGAATCATAGAATTTCCGGATTCCAAGTCTGCCCATGAGTAAACCCAAATGCACAATGGGACTGATGTCTTCCATGGTGGCTCCGGCTAAGGAGCCCAACGCCATGGGCCCGAAGGAAATGGAGCTCATTCTGGTCAAGGAGCAAAATGGAGTGCAGCTCACCAACTCCACCCTCATCAACCGGGCACAGACCCCTGTGCAGCCCCAAGAACGGGAGACCTGGGGCAAGAAAATCGACTTTCTCCTCTCTGTGATCGGCTTTGCAGTGGACCTGGCCAACGTCTGGCGGTTTCCTTACCTTTGCTACAAAAATGGCGGTGGTAAGTCCCATCTCAGCCCTGCCGTACACTGCCGCTAGACTGGAGGTCCCAAGGGGCAGCTAGAGGCAGCGCTTGCAAGGAATGGGTAAACACTGATAAGAAAATAGTGTCCTCTTGAGTGGGGATGAGTCCTAGCTTAGCATTAATGGGGCACATATGATCCCAGATGGATTTTGCAAAATCGTAGGATAAGAGCTCTAAGCAGTCTGGTTCCATCTCTGAGTTTTGCATTTGGGGAAATCGAGGCTGGGAAAGAAGGAACTGGGAGGAAGTAGCTAGCGGCACCTGGGCTCTGCCATCTAGTTCCAACAGCTGTTTTCACTTTGGAAAGAGAATTCTCAAAGGCCCAAAGAGTGGTATCATTGGTTGCTTACACAGTATTTGCAAAGTATTTGGAGACCCTTGAACTTCGATCGAGAGATGGAAGTGTTTTCTCTCCCACTCTCTAACTCAGTCATCACGTGGGCTTTGGGTAGACAGAGAGAGGAAGACAATGAGGAAGAAGAAAGCATGGAGACTGGGGAGAAGACAAAGGGTAGGAGGTTTGAAGCAACAGGAGATACCCCCGGAAATGTGCCCATTTCCACTCCTTTCCCCCACCATTTCCTGAACTCAACTAGCCACACAATCATGACTGTTTCTGGACTTGAGTCAGAAAACTAAGATAAGGGGCAGGGTCACCCAAAACCTTCAAGATGAGAAGTCAATTAAATTGGTGCTCATTTCCATGAGTCTCCATTGGCCCTTCCCTTCCTCCACAATGTACTGACTGCTTTGTGCTATGTGATGAAGGGCTTCAGAAGAGTTTCTTGGAGAAGGCTTCACGGCATGCCTATGAGTAAGCTGGCATTATTACGCCCATCTTAAAGATTAAAAAACCGAGGCCTAAGCAGATACAGTAAGCTGCTCAGACAGAGCTGTAGGCTCTCCACACCTTCCCCTCTCCACCCTTGGAGGAGAGCCACAGCGGAGGCCTCCCTGACTCAGGATGGCTTAGGGAAGAACAACTGGACTTCAGGAGGCTAAGCCTGTGGGACGCTGGGCTTTGTGCTCTGGCCTGGGTGTGCAGGTATAAGAGGAACTAGACAGTACCTGGGAGAGGCTCATGGACTCTGGGGCAGGCCCTGTGAGAAACAACCACAGCTCTGAGCTCTGATAGCAGCAGGCTCCGGATGCTGGGAAGCCAGGCACAGAGTGCTGGGGCTCACTGAGGGTCAGGGCAACCAGATCCCAGAGGAGCTATGACTCAGGAGGTCAATAGGATGAAGACAGGGAGGGGACAGACGTTTCCCCAGAGGAGCTATTGGGCAGGCAGGGGAAGAGGAGCCCCAGGAGAAGAGCTGAGAAGTGGGTGGGACTTCATATACTCTGCTAAAGGGCTTGAGGTGGGGGACAACTAAGGGTTTCAGCAGGGCTATGGGGCAGTGGTGACAGTGGGGGAACAGGCTTGGAGGTGAGAGGCTCACTCACCCCAACCTGGGACTTTCCATTGGAGAGTGGCTGCCTAGGAAGCCTCTTACCTGAAACAGAGACAGGAGCCTCAGGTGAAAGCAGGTGCACCCAAGACTCAAGTGGCCACCTTGGACGGCTGAGCCGCGGCTCTGATGATGAGAAGCGACCCTTCTTGCAGACCCCACTCAGCGTGCTGTCATGTCCCCACAGGTGCCTTCCTGGTCCCCTACCTGTTCTTCATGGTCATCGCCGGGATGCCACTCTTCTACATGGAGCTGGCCCTTGGGCAGTTCAACAGGGAAGGGGCTGCCGGGGTCTGGAAAATCTGCCCGATTCTGAAAGGTATGCAAAGTAACACCTCCTTCCTCACTCGTGTCCAGCATAGACACACAGGAATGCGCCATTTTAGCTTTGGTTCTACTTTAAAAATCTGTAATGACCAAGGATTCAAGGGTGTATTCCCTTAGCTGCAGGTAAAGCGGCCATGCAATTCATTAGTAGTGTTATCTTGTCAAGGTGTTTGAGTAGTACATGAGATAAAACATCTATCCATCGGTCCATCCATCCATCCATCCATCCATCCATCTATCCATCCATCATATATCTACTGTCTATCAATCATCTAGCTTCTAGCTATCCATCTATCCATCATCATCTGTCTGTCTATCTATCTATCTATCTATCTATCTACCTCCCTGCTTATTCATTGAACTCTCAAGACTTCTGGAGCAACCCCACAGTGCAGTGAAATGAAAACACCTTGTGTTGAGCCCCGGAAATCTGCCCAGCAGCCCCCCCTTTCCAGGTGTCCCCTCACCCATCCTCACAAGCACCCTGTGGTGGGCATGCCCTGCTATTGTCCCCTTTTAGAGATGCAGACATCAAGGATTGCAGGGTTTGAGTAACTTGCCCTTGGTCATCTGGTCAGTGGCAGAGCGGAATTTGATCCCAGCCTGTGCAACTCCCAAGTCCAGCCTCTGGGTCACACCTGCCTACTGGGCTGACACCACCTCTTAGGAGTGGGCGGTCAGGGGGGACTCAGGAGTGTTTCTTCAGAGATATGTGGGACTGCCCACTTTAGACAGTTGATGCTCACTAAGGAGAAGACCATTAGAGAGCTGTTTGGGGATTGTCTCTGAAGTTCTTAAAAAGTTGATCTGCTTGGAAGACAGCAGAAGCCCAGTAGGTATTCCAGGAAGCACTTTGGATGGCTCAGTGGGTTTATAATCAGAGTCCAGTCTTAGCAAGTGAAAATAAAGGGGCTCTCACAGCCGCCGACGTCTCTGCAAGGAGAAAATAGCCCTGTTGCAGCAGTGGAAACACTGAGACTGGCCAGGCGTGAGGCTTTTCCAGGGCATTTAGTTGTTATTCACCCTTAATAGCCCGACTGGGGGAATCTTACCACTTTAGCAGATTTTTCCAAGACTAAATTATTCATGGACCCACCGGAAAACAAACTACATAAAGAGAGGCCCACCCCCTCCCCCTCCACAGGCACTCATCTTTAGCATGAAAGACAGTAGACAAAGGGTGCCCCTTTGCAGGATTTGAATGGGGAAGTCAACGCTTAAAAGAAAAACAAAACCAGTTGCGCTTGAGTCAACTCTGACTCATGGCAACGCCATCCATGTCAGAGTAGAAATGTACTCCGTAGCATTTTCAATGGCTGATTTTTTGGAAGTAGATCATCAGGACTTTCTTTTGAGGCGCCTCTGGGTGAACTCAAACCCCTAACCTTTGGTTAGCAGTCAACCACATTAACTATTTGCACCACCCAGGGACTCCAAAGCTTTAAAAGAACTTCCTGAAACTCGTTTCTGTCCTCAATCTCAGCTCCCTCCACAGACAAATGCAATCACTAAGGAAAAACACCAGGCTTCTGTTTGGAGACAGATAAGGGTGTCAAACTGGACATTTAATTGTGTATTTACTGGCCCAGTATTGATGTGGTCAAGGTCAGTGAATCAGAAGTGATCCTTCAAGACACAAATGAGTTAGTAGCATCCTCTCGGGGTCTGTCTCCCAGCACTGACGCCATGTGGGGAGGAAGACATCCCTTCTGAGTCTGTGACCGTGAGCTGTGAAGAGTGTAGGCATACTCATGTAGCGCCTTCATATAACACCTGCCTGTTCAGGTGCTTTAAAGAGCTGGCTTGGAGATTTAGCTCACATATCCTCAGGTGAACATACGGGTGGAAAGGTTGAGAGATGACCAGCCTCATGCCATACAATGATTACGGTACGGCCAAATTTTGCATTGCTGGATTTTCAAGAATCATCCCATTGGGGTCTCTAGAGTGTCATAACTGTCTTATATGACACAACCCTGTGCCCCCACCCCCTACTAAGGAACCTAATGTTTAATCAAATTAAATTTCCCTCCTATGTGCAGGGCCGGGGCTAGTGACTGCGGGAGCGAGAGAGGACAATGATTCAGGCGCCAAGAGCCGTGGGCCAGCCAATGAAAGCTAATTTCCATGCACATGTCACACCACAAAGAGAATTTTCTCTAGCAAAGCTCCAAAGGGAACTTTAATATTGCAGTTTATAAAATGTCAATAAGCAATCAAGAATTTCAAAGGACTAAATCCTGAGAGACTTAACTTGGGTTGATACAGAAAATCATAATTAAATAGGTGGGACTACCATCACCCCATTATAGAGACTAAGAAAATCGAAAATCCCAGTTAAATAGACATGACTATCATCACCCCTGGAGCCCTGGTGGCACAGTAGTTAAGAGTTACAGCTGCTAACCAAAAGGTCGGTCCTTGGAAACCCTGTGGGGCAGTTCTACTGTGCCCTACAGGGTCGCTATGAGTCAGAATTGACTCAATTGCAACAGGCTTGGTTTGGTTCTTGTTATCACCCCATTATAGAGACTCTTAGAAAATAGAAAATCATAGTTGAATAGACATGACTGTCATCACCCAATTATAGAGACTAAGAAAGCAGAGGTGGGCACTTCATCGGGTTCCCAGTGATGTGGTGTCAGAACCATCGCTAATTTAATATTTACGCCATGTCACAGCCCTGTATTCATGCTCTTTCATCCTGTGTTGGCCTTTGTTCAGGTCTGAAAACTAGTGTCTATCTCCGGGTGTGCCAGCATCAGACTGTGGGCAGAGGATGCCCTGGTGAGCCTCCCTGGGATCAAGTCCTGGTACCAGGCCCATCCACACCCATCTCATCACAGGTTATTAAGGAGAATTGCAAACCCCTTAGAGGTGAACTATTCAGCCTTGGTATCTTTTTGTAATCAGCATGGTGCCATGTTCATCGTAGAGAGAAATGAATCAATGCCAGAAAACTAGATTTTTTTTTTTTTTAAGAGGAGACACCTTGAATAGTTCAATATCAATAAAACTACAATTCCTCACAGGTGATTTTCTATATGTTTAGGTTATATTTTATCCACAGGATGGCAATTTGATAGGAAATTGTGATTGCTTGATAAGTTAAACCAAACCAAACGCGTCGCTGTCAAGTTGATTCTGACACACGGCAACCCCGTGTGTGTCAGAGGAGAACTCTGCTCCATGCATAGGGTTTTCTTGGCTGTAATCTTCATGGAAGCAGATCATCAGGACTTTCTTCCACAGTGCCACTGAGTGGGTTTAAACCACCAACCTTTAAGTTAGTAGACAAGCGCAAAGCATTTGTGCCACCCAGTTGTTGTTGCTAGGTGCCGTCGAGTTGCTTCCAACTCAGTGATCCTGTGTACAACAGAACAAAACACTGCCTGGTCTTGTGCCATCCTCACCATATTGTTATGCTTGAGCCCACTGATGCAGCCATTGTGTTATTCCATCTCGTTGAGGGTCTTTCTCTTTTTCACTGACCCTCTACTTTACCAAGCATGATGCCCTTCTTCGGGGACTGGTCCCTCCTGAAAACATGTCCGAAGTACTTGAGATGAAGTCTTGCCATCCTTGCTTCTAAGGAGCGTTCTGGCTGTACTTCCTCCGAGAGAAGATTTGTTCATTCTTCTGGCAGTCCATGATATATTCAGTATTCTTCACCAACACCGTAATTCAAAGTCATCAATTCTTCGGTCTTCCTTATTCATTGTCCAGCTTAAGTTAGATGAGGTCAAAGCCAGGCTTCCCGGGGTAGCCTAATGCATGTGCCGTCTCTTTCCTTGCTTGTTTTTGTTTTTTTTTTTTTCAACTTTAGTTAATATTATTGTATGTATGTCCATGTCTCCTTAAGAAGGAGTACCACATGGCTAAATTAAGACATGAGTTAAAATGCTCAGGATAATTATTATGGAGCCAAAGCTCATGTGCCCTTTGCGGGTGATCGGTGTGGCATGCCCCTGTGAGGGTTTCTTCCTTCCTGGTGAGTGAGTCTCCAGAAGCAGGGAGCCGAGAGCTGCCTGGAGCCCATTTCCAGCTCCTCTCTGTGGGCCTGGGGCGCACTCCTAACCCTCAGCCTAAGAAAGCCAGGCAGTCAAGCCAATGGTAGCAGTGGCAGTGGTAGTGAGGAGCTGCTTCGAAGGGGCCATGACTAATTCGAGGTCCCCAGGTACAATCTTCTCCAAAAACCCTCAGGCTGAATCACAGGGGCTAGATATTCTCTAAGCAGCCTTCATGAAGAACCATAGTGTTTCCATCACACGGTTCCTGAGAAAACACTCTCTCTAACACTCATGCACACGCACACACACACACACGCTCACAGAGAGTAAGCAGATGATACTGAAGACACCCAGACCAACAGAGGAAGAATTCTCTCCTTCTTTTCTTCCAGTGTTCATGCAAGGAATGGAAGGGCTGCCCCACCAATGAGTGTGCTTCAGCAGTTCACTCAATTTGTTTCACCAGCTGGTATTCTTGGAATTGCATCTGTGAACTCTCTCTGGAGGCCAGCTTCCATGGATGCTCCAGAGCAAGTAGTACCTTCTATGGATGGTGGAGAGGGGCTGAATACCCATTTTTAGCAGGATGCTCCTTTGTAGGTTGTCTGTCTGTCAATAACAAGATTCACTGTATGTATGCCATGGCAACACCACCATATGAAGACTGCTAATTTATAATATTTTGCATCCAGTGATTTATCAATCAGTGTGGTTTATCAAGCTTTCCTCTTTCTAAAAAGAATTTAAGATAGCTCAAAATAAAACAAAACAAAATGCTCACTATGTAAATATAAAAATAATTAATAAGAAAACTAAAATTCAGGAAAATTGACATTATGAGCAGTGCTTGAGGTTGCTGAGTGTTAAACAAAGAGAACCAGGTCAAATTTTCATTAGAGAATGTTAGAAAGGAGTAAGTCTACACTCCCCTGGTGGGGAGGCAGCTCCCCGGCCTAATTGATAAAAGAAATACATCAGAGGCATTCTGTTAAGAGGACATAGTGAGTCACAAACAATGGTCTCAAGAACATCTTTATTGCAAACAAAATGGCGGGTTTCGTGTGTCTGGGAAATTGAGGAGCACCTTGCTGAAGGCAAGGTCATTGAGGGGCTGCATTTCAGCGATCCAGGCCCATGGCTTCCCAGAAGGGCAGAACTCAAGAGTGACCTGAATGAACAGCTGAACTTGCGATCTCCATCACCCGAGCACCCAGGGCCACTGACAGCACCCATAAGGGAGACACTGCTGAGCTGGGTTCTGACTGAAGTATGTCCGTTTGCTCTGGGGGCCTAACCAGCCAGTGGAGGCTTTGTTGCTTTGTCTTTAAGGGTCAGAACCCAGGCCTGCCCTGACAGAGGGCTGTCCACACAGTGTGGGTTCTGGATAGACAAAGGCAAAATCAGCTCTTCCTTCATAAACTGGATTTGGATCCATTCTAGTGTTTGTCAAAGACTCCTTTGTATTCCCAAAGGTTAGAGCTGAGGAATTGGTATACAATGTTTTAACCTTGTAAAAGTTTCAAATGAGGCATCCACATCACCCCACTACCAGAGAAAACCTTCCCAGGCACACGATGGGTCATGTGCTTTGAACAACATGGCTTCCTGACGTGGCTGCCTAAGCAAATTCGCTCCTAAGGCACCCAGTGAGCAGACTTGCAACACAGAATCATTTAATATTGACTTCACTGGAGAGGACCTTCAAAGGAGACCATCTTGGTGTTAATCACCACTATTACTGAGCATGATTTTCAGGCAGGATTCCATTGTTGTTGTTAGTTCCCGTAGAGTCGGCTCTAACTCATGGTGACCGTATGTACAACAGAATGAAATGTCGCCCAGTCCTGCATCATCTTCATGATTGTTGATATGTCTGAGTCCATTGTTGTGGCCATTGTGTCAATCCATCTCATTAAGGGTTTCCCTCATTTTCGCTAACCCTCTACTTTACCAACCATGATGGTTAGGATTCCATACTCCGTTGCCATCGAGTTGATTCCAACTCATAGCAACCTTATAGGACAGAGTAGAACTGCCCCATAGGGTTTCCAAGGCTGTAATCGTCACAGAACCAGACTGCTATGTCTTTCTCCTATAGAGTGGCTGGTAGGTTTGAACCTCTGACCTTTCGGTTAGCAGCCGAGCACTTTAACCTCTATGCCACCAGGGCTGTTTCAGGATTACATACCAGGGCCTATTTTCTTTGAGGCCATTCCTGATCCTGGGTCTGTTAATACATAAACTAACCAAATCAAACCTGTTGCCATCGAGTCAATTACAACTTATAGTGAGCCTATAGGACAGAGTAGAACTGCCGCATAGGTTTCCAAGGAGCGACTGGTGGATTTGAACTGCCAACCTTTTGGTTAGCAGCCTGAGCTCTTAACCACTGCACCACCAGGGCTCACTGTTAATACATAGACACAAGTAAATTGTAGCGCTTTTCTTTTTGCTTCCAGGGTAGGAAGAGACCTTTAATGAATAGCTCAGCATGTAAACAGCTACCCTTGAAGGATAAGACCATAAAAATCAAGCCCAAGCAGTTCCCTGCCAAAGTCACCTTAAAGGCATGCTCCTCCCTCAGCCTCAGCAGGCAAGACAGGGCCTGGAACTGAGTTTAATATAGTAAATCAAAGTTATAGCCCAGATGAATGGTTTCAACAAAACTGAAGAAGGAATGCTGAAATGAAAAGAACTCTGCATGGAGCTTAGTAAAGTGAAGCCAAAACACCAAGAACGTGGTTGGGCATGTCCAGCGTATTATAGGAGGGGCTCCTTGACCAGTGGGAGGAAGGCCTTCTCACCGCCAGACCCACCTGCCCACCACAGTCGGGATGACACAGCTCCAAAGACTGCTCACCTCTGGGTTCTGCTCCAGGTCACCAGGGGGCTCTCAAATGATTGGCCTCACCTTCCAGGTGTTGTGATCCTGCAAGGGGGCATCCTGAAAGGCCCTGGGTGGCCCTGGGACACCCAGATGGTCATGTCTGGCCCTGGGTGACCCTCGGTGGCCCTAGATGACCCTACATGATCCTGGATGACCCTGGTGGATCCTGAGTGGTTGTGGATGGCAATGGATGGCCATGGATGACCCTTAGTTGCCCTGTATGGCTATAGGTGAGCCCTGGTGTACCTGGGTTGCCTTGGATGATCTTGAGTGGTCCTGCATGACCCTAGGATGACTTTGAGGGGCCTTGAGTAATCTTGGGTATATAGGCAGCCTTGGATGTCCCTGGGTGTCACTGGGTGGTCTTGGATGGCTGTAGATGGGTTTGGAAGTTAGTCCTTTCTCTGTGATCACAGCATGAAGTATGGCATTAGCCTTGTTCACTAGCATTTTTCCTGTTTGTTTAAAAATGTTGCATGGAATTAAAGATGTCGGTGAACTCCCAGCACAAGGTGGAGATGTTTCCCATGAGGGAAGGCCAAAAGGAGAGTTTAGCTCATGGTGGCTCTCCCCTCTCTCTGCCCTAGGTGTGGGCTTCACGGTCATCCTTATCTCGCTCTACGTCGGCTTCTTCTATAATGTCATCATTGCCTGGGCGCTGCACTACTTCTTCTCGTCCTTCACCATGGAGCTGCCGTGGATTCACTGCAACAACACCTGGAACAGCCCCAACTGCTCAGACGCCCACTCCGGCAACTCCAGCGACAGCTTGGGCTTCAACGACACCTTCAGGACCACACCTGCAGCAGAGTACTTTGAGTAAGTGGAGGTCTGGCTCCTCCAGGCTGCTGGCAAATCACTCGCCGTATCTGCTTCTAGAATGAGGAGGAATGACAGCAAAGCTGGGCACTTGATGGTGGCCTTGGGGGTCGGTCGCCCCCACCTCTGATGCCTTGCAGGTGCGGAGAGAGTCAGCTCCTGCCCCTTACCCGCCGGTCTTCCTTGCATTCTGTTCCTCTAGGGCTCTTGTGGGAATATTTCTGAATCAGGCTCCGGTAGCTCGGCAAAGCTCTTGCACAGAGCGAGTCCTCAGTAGTGATGGACAACCCAGCAGGTCCTATCACAGCCCTGTCCTGCTCCCAGGCAGCAGTTTTGGGTAGGAGAAAGGCTGGTGGTGGGCCCCACAGGCCCTACTTGGAAGGAAGGTGAGCCCTGTGTCTGGGCCCCTCAGGGCTGCAGCGTCCCGTTTAGGGTGCGCTCGGCTGGATTCTGTTCTCCTCTCTACCCTGCCCTTCCTGTGCTCCTGGGCTCATTCCGAGCGATCTCGTCCAGGCCCTCCTCTCTCTCCAAAACAGACAACTTTCCACGTCACTAAATAGACCTCCTCTATGAGGACTCATTGAGCGTTCACTTTCCATTAGGTTTTCTTTTCTTTTCTACAAACACAGCTTTAGTTCTTTTACTAGATCCCTCCTCAGTCCCCTGCGCCCTTCTTCTCCCACGCCGGCACATTCCCACTTCCAGCTGGGCCTTCTAGGCTTTCTCTCAGTCTCCTCCTCCCATGGAGCCAGGCCCAGCCCCTGCTCTCCATGCCGTGTGACCCCAACCATCCCCACTCCTGGAATCTGCTTTTCTTGGGCACTTCATCAGCTCCTGCCCTCCCTCCTCCCTCACCAGTGGCCTGACCAGAAAGGGCCATCACTGCCCAACATGGGTCCACGGTTCCCGCTGACCCTACCCCTGCTCAGAGTCCAGACACATGTGCACTGGACAGCCTCCTTACCTGGTTAGAAACCCATCTGTCTCCTTACCTACAGTTTGCTTCTCAACTCGGGAAAACCCTAGTTCAGAATCGCTTTGGGGTAAGGGATGGCCTGGGTCAGAGTATGGCCAGCCTCTGAGGAGCAGGCTGGACCTATCACCAGCACCCTCTCACGTGCACACCCTAGGGCCACCGACCTGGCTGCTGGCACCTCACGCTGGACCTCCCATCCTGACTGAGGGGCTTCTGTTAAACTGCACCGGAGATGAGGAAAAGGCAACACCCGTCAAGCCCAAAAGTACGCAGTGACTGTGGGGCTACTGTTTCTTTTGTCTGAAATCTTACTTGCCTAGTTAGATATAAGATATATCTTATCAGTGCCTCCATGGAAATAGTAGTCTCCTTACAACTTAGCCAAAGGAACTTCTGCCAACAAAAATGAAATTCAAATTTCAGCAGCAATTGGGTATGTTTGCTAAACATGCTTTGAGTTAGAAAACAAAGAGCTTAAAACAAGTAAACTAGATGTCTCAGTGTTGCAGTTGGTAAAAGCTGTGCTCATGGAGGAGCCCAGGCTCGGGAAGGTGGTTGGAAAAACCCCACCTTGCCTCTGCTGGGATGAAGGGCCATCGCGAGGGTACCGTGGTCTGGGTGTGCGTATCCTCCCGGGCAGATGGTTCTCATCATACCATTTTTCCCTGAAGGCCTTTTCCTGTGAGGGCAGGACTGTTGCCCACCATTGGGGATCACCTGGTGATGGGAGAGCCGTCTCACCTGTGCAGGAGAGGGAACCATTTGCGTGAGGAAAGTCAGGTAGATGCCTCCAGGGAGGAGATGTGGAGTGTTTCTAGAATCTGTGGATCTTTAGATTGTTAAGTTGCGTTGAGTTTCAGATACTCAGAATGGAAATGCTTTGTTTTAGAATTCCTTGTCGTATGTGGGAAATATGCCTCCAGGATTGTCTAGCATGGGAATTGGCAGCGGGTTGTCAAGAAGGGTGGCTTGAGGCAGCTTTTGAAGTGTCTGGAAGGACCATCAGAAGGACTGGGTGTTCCTAGAGCATTAGAAGGATAGTGGTTGGATTTGGGTGAGGGTTGTGTGTGACAGCACATCTTTATTATTTTAGAAGACAACCTTTCTAGTGGTTTGGGGATTGAACTGGAATGAAGAATGTCTGGGGGTGGGGGAAGGGAGACAAGTTCCATGATGGAAAAGAAAGGAGGGATCCCAGCAGGAGGAGGGGTTCACAGGACTTAGTGACCAGATGGGTTGAGGGGACAGACCAGAAGAGAACGCCAGACAGGAGTGAGATTCCAAGCTTGGTGGGCATCAGGGGTGGTAACGGCTCTCATCTAAAGAGAGCTCTCAGGAGGAGCGTGGCTGGGTCCAGAGGATGGGACAGGCAGGGAGAGAAGAGTCCATTTGGAATTTGTCCCATGATTTGTCTGAAAGACAACTGGGTGGGCATATCCCATGAGAACATGGGGATAAAGGCAAGGCTATCTGAATGTTTGGATAGGACAAACATTAAGTGTGACAAGATAATAAAATTGCTCAGATTTAAAAAAAAAAAAAGTTACCTCATTTGTCAAAGTAGATTTTAGCATTCTTAGGGGAGAAAAATGAGGTACCTTGGTGGTGCAAATGATTTGCGTTCAGCTGCTAACTGAAAGGTTGGCAGTTCAAGCTCACCCGACAGTACTGTGGAAGAAAGGCCTGGAAATCTGCTTCCATAAGGATTACGGCCAAGAAAACCCTATGGAGTAGTTCTACTCTGTCACAGGGGGTTGCTATGAATCGAAAATGACTCAATGGCGCTAAACAACAACAGGGGAGAGAAACAACACCTTCTTTGTCCTCTGCATGCTCGTTACTACATTTCACAGATTTGATTCTGCTCATTAATGGGAACGAGACCTGGGCTGTGTATTTGTTAGCCCTCAGGGATTAGCATGTGGTCCACATGGAGGGGTCTGCAGGAGAGAAGAGATGGGAACCTTCCGTATGATAAAGTAGAGATGATAGAGGTTGTTGAGGATGCAAAGGTTTTGAGTTTCATAGTAACTGATAGCACTGTATCAAGTTGTTATTGTTGTTGTTAGTTGCCATCAGCTCCAACTCATGGTGACCTTATATGGAACAGGATGAAAATGTTACCTGGTCCTGAACCGTCTTCACGATCACTGGTGTGTTTGAATCCACTGTTGCGGCTATTGTGTCAGTCCATCTCATTGACTAATAAGGGTTATGATGAGACAGTTCACACCTGAGCTGGATTTAATTTGTTGTTGTTGTTAGGTGCTGTCAAGTCAATTCTGATTCATAGCAATCCTATGTACAACAGAACGAAACACTGCCCGGTCCTTCACCATCCTCACAATCCTTGTTATGTTTCAGCCCATTGTTGCAGCCACTGTGTCAATCCATCTCATTGAGGATCTTCCTCTTTTTCACTGACTCTCTACTCTACCAAGCTTGATGTTCTTCTCCAGGGACTGGTCCCTCCTGATAACATGTCCAAAGTATGTAAGATGAAGTCTCACCCTCCTTGCTTCTAATGAGCGTTCTGGCTGTACTTCTTTCAAGACAGATTTGTTCGTTCTTCTGGCAGTCCATGGTATATTCAATATTTTTTGCCAACACCACAATCCAGAGGTGTCAGTTCTTCTTCGGTCTTCCTTATTCGTTATACCGCTTTCACATTGCATATGAGGCCATTGAAAACACCATGGCGTGGGTCAGGTGCACCTGAGTCCTTATCATTACAAAAACAAAATGGTAGCTAAGTTTTTAACTAGTGTATCTTTCACAATTTAAAAGTGGGTTTCAGTAAAACTCAGTGCATTTGAGAAGGGTACAGAGACTTGGAAGGTGCTGAATGACACCATTTTGGAATCTCCCATCTTTTGTTTGTGAGGTGTGGAAAGAGTTGCTTTATCTAAAGGATTTTCAGTTAAGAAAATTAGAGTCCAGGTGGAGGGGGGACCTGATTAGTGTAATGGTTTATAATTAAGAATGCTAGAAGGAAAGAATATAGTCTATTAAAAAAAAAAAAGAGAGATCAGGTTAGTCAAGTCTACTTGGTAATCTTCAGTCTGGAAAGTGAAAGATTGAAAAGGACAGTGCCCCAATCCCTTAAGTCGGGAAGGCCGTTAGCACTAGCTGGTGCCACACTAGAACTGGTGCTAGCTAGAGGACAAAGGTGGTAAGTTTTAAGAAAGTTTAAGATAAATGCATAGATTGTTAATGGCACCGTGAATCATTAAACCACACCAAGGTGTGTATTACTCCATGCCAACATTTTGAAGGTTATTTTCCTAAAGGTGGAAACAAGTTTTCCTGAAACAGGCTTTTGTGACTCTATCAGATGGGATGACCAGCCCAGCCATACCCTCAAATCTGCAAGGAGTTTTCTGGAACTTAAGGCCGCTGCATAAAGCAGATCATTGTAAGAGGATCACATGTTTCTGCCGGGACATGTAGTTAGGGACCCCATTTCCCACCATAAAATGTCATAAAGGCCAAGATAATCATAGTCATTAAAATGATAAAGTTATTTTAATGACCACATATAAAAAAATATATGAAGTGGCCTATACAACCATATCATTGATCATACCAGGGATCCCAATTTCCTACATAATGTTTAGAGTAAAATTGTGCCATCTCACAAATCTGACAACTAAAATGTTAACTGGAATCGATCTTGAAGTTATCTTCATATGTGCATTTTAACGACAGGACCTCAGAGAATAACTGTCAGGTCTTGGCGAGATAACCAATCACTATTAACACTGGGACTGTGCTCAGGTCTCTGACTCTCACCTCTATTGCCTACTCTGGACTCTGATTCCCAAGAGATGGCCGAGCTGTCTGGGTTTCAGGCTGGGCTTTCCCTCACATGATGCAAACACTGTGTTCATGAGTCCCCCCCATGCCCGTTGCCAAGGTTCAGTAAACCCAGTATTGGGTCAGTGTTGGCAAATGGAAATGGTCCTGCAGAGATTGACTTACATCTCAGCTTCCAGGGGCCCCAGGCAGCCTTCCTGCCCTGTGG